ATCGGATTAAAACCCCGGTTAATACGGGATTGAACTGGAACCGATCTGAATCCAAATTCGATTGGATCGGGAGACAATCCGGGCCAATCCGACATTGGGGATAGTTGTCAAGCGAATCATGAATCCCTCAATATAATTGAACACACCCTTCAACAGTAATCATAACTTATGCAAGCGTATTTTGATTAACAACCATCATACAAACTTTGGAACCCGATTGTCATCAGAATCTGAAAAAAAAAAAAACTCATAGCGGTAAAGTAAACCAAATTACATGCAGATTATGACAACACGAAAAAAAAAAAAATGGGAATTGAGACAAATCAAACCACATGCCAGGCGAAATGGCAGAATTCTACTGTTTTAATCATTTGGAATCCACGTAGAATCTGCCATTTCATGGTAGCTTAAACCTCTTATCAAAGCTGGCCTGCTTTATGCAGTGTGGGAAACCACCAGCTGATGCCACGCATCGCACTGACGTATGCTGCTCACTCTCAATAAAGAGCATTTAATAATGTTTAATATCTGGCGCTGCTAGCTAGATGCATCTAAATAATAATAATAGAGGCCAGCCTGCTTTATGCAGTGTGGGAAATAATGTTGTTAGGCGAAACCATTTTGGGCAAATGGCGAAAGACGAAATCTAAACCCGGCGAAAGACGAAAGACGAAACTCCCTGGCGAAACTGGCGAAACCTGACGAAACTGACGAAACCTGACGAAACTGGCGAAACCTGGCGAAACTGGCGAAACCTGGCGAAACTGGCGAAACCTGACGAAACTGCGAAACATGGCGAAACCTCTGGCAAAAGGCGAAACCTTGGAGAAAGTCAAATCTTGCGAATATCAAATCCACTAATCTTTGGAAATAATTAAGCCGTTTGGTGAATGAAATTATTTTGTGTAGTGATTAAGTACAGCATGTGGTTGATATTGTAACCGTTGAATGGGAGAGCGAATGAAATAATATAAAGAGTTAACTCCAACGGTGTATGGATAATAAGGCTACTTTGGGTAAGTGAAATGGGTCTTTTATAACCTATAGAAGACTAGTTAGACAATAAGGGTGATGATTAGGGGTGAAGCAACTACAGGCGATGCTGTTAAGGGTGTGTGATATTAAGGATGGTGATGTGTAAGCGGACGATGATCAAGTGTTATCAGGGATAACTTTAAGTTCACGTGATGGATTTAACTATATCGGTACGTAAGTCACGTTCAACTCTCAAGGGTAAATGGCAATATGTGATTCCACAAGTATATTAGAATCCGAGTCTTAATAAGCCAAACGAAGTTACAAGTCAATTCAGTCCGTCGAATTGAGTTACGAATGGTTTATTAAAGTTAAAGTCGAATTCAAAAGATAAGTATTGTATTTTATTTACTTGGTTTGAAATTGAACGTGGAACATTTTTTTTGTCTTTATTGAAATTGAGAACTTTATATACATGTTAAATGGTTACAACATATTCGCGGGATTTTCAGCGTATTCGCTGTATTCTCAACGAAGCCTTAGCAATCTCAGCGCATTCGCTGCTATTACCACGCATTCGTTGTTATAACCGCGTCTTCGCGGTAGTTACCACGTAGTTACTGGAATATGGTGTTTAACTCGATCTTCTAAAACAAATCCACTCGCTTACCACTTTTTACGAAGACTGGTGTATCTTACAAGATATTTTGACTGATATCATTTAACTATGCCATTGGTTGAAATCTATCGGGTAGTAATTTTATCTGCCATTAGGTCTGATTTCCAATGATTTGTTTAAATCCACAAGTGGTTTTTTTTTTTTTTTTTTTTTTTTTTTTTAGGTTGTCCCATGAATTTCAAAGTCTGTGCTTTGTTTGGTTTGATGACTAGTGATTGATTTAATCCGTCAAGCAACACTTCTATCTGCGATAAGTCTCCCGCTCCCACACCGACTTAACATCCACGCAATGTTTGACTCGATTTCTCATGATTTGTTTAAATCTGTAGGTGGTTCTTCACACTTGTTCGTCATCTAATAATCATCGTATTTATCCATCTGTGATAATTCTCTAGTTCATCACTCGATAAATTGTTCCGCGTTCATTTAATGTGTCTGCCTTATTTGATTAATTCCTAATGATTTGTTTAAATCTGCTAGTGATTGTTCATATCTGTCCATCATACGATAAACTTTTCCACGACTTTCTAATGCAAATGCGTTACCAGAATCATTTTTAATGATTTATTTCAATCAGCTAGTGATTCTTTATGTCTGTTTATGTTGCAATAAGTTGCATCACGTTCTGCTAATATAATTGCATTAATTGCTCAAATCAGCTAGTGATTCGTCGTTTCTGTTCATCTAGCGGTAAGTTACTCCACGCTCTGCTGATATTATTGCATTAATTGGATTCCTTTCTAATGATTCATTTAGATCTTCTAGTGATTCTTTGAATCTGTTCATCATCCTATAAATTACTCCACGACTTGCTAATGTAAATACGTGGTTTGGATTAATTTCTAATGATTTATAATCATGCGATAAGTCACTCCACGCTCCCTTAATGCGTCTGCATTACTCAGATTAGTGCCTATAATTGATTTAAATCGGCCAGCGATTCTTCGTATTTGTACATCTTAAAATATATTGCACCACAGTTTATTAATGCAAAAGCATTATATTTAAATCTGCTAGTGATTCTTCGCATTTATTCATCTTAAAATATGTTGCACCACGATATGCTAATGCAAAAGCATTATTTAAATTAATTTTTAATGGCTTATTTAGATCTGCTAATGATTCCTTGTATCTGTTCATTATAATAATTTGCACCACAGTATGCTTATGCAAATGCATTATTTGGATTGATTTTTAATGATTCATTTAAATCTGCTAGTGATTCTCCATATCTGTTCATCATAAGATAAGTTGCTCCACGTTCATTTAGTGAGTTTTCATGATTTGAATCAATTTTAATGATTTATTTAAATCTGTTAGTAATTCTTCGTATTTATCCAACGCGCGTGCATTATCTGGTCTAATTTCTAATGATTTATTTAAATCCGCTAGTGATTCTTCGTAGCTGTTCATCATGCGCCACGCTGCCTCAATACAGATGTATTATTTGGATCAATTTCTAATGATTTAATTAAATCTGCTAGTTATTCTTATATCTATTCATCATGCGATAAATTATACCACGTTGCTCTAATGCAGATACATAATTTGGATCAATTTCTAATGATTTATTTAAATCTGCTAAAGATTCTTCGTGCTTGCTCGTTATATGATAAGTTATTCCGCGAATTGCTAACGCCGATGTATTAATCGGATCAATTTCTAAAGACTTATCTAAATCTACTAGTGATTCTTCATATCTGCTCATTATGCTATAAATTACACCACGATAACTATTGTGATTTCGGACTAACGGTTTGTAATTGATTAAATCGTTGTAATAATTGATTAAAACATTGTTCTATTGAATGAATATAATCCTTTCTATTTGCTACATTATTGGACGAAATAAAATTCTCATGATTATAATTCGAAATATCTATCGCTATGCTAGTATCTTGTTTACTCTGACCAGCCGGAACCACTGGGAACATTCGCCTGCACCTTAATTTATCACAGATTTCAACTATATTAGGACGTAAATTTGGATTGTTATTCCAAGCTTCGCAATAAATAATCATAAATTCAATTGGTGTCGCTTTAATAGGTGTTGCTCGTTTCCCTTAACTACTTGTAAAGTTACCTCTAAATTAGACTTATCTCTAAAGGGAGGTAAACCACTTGAGACTATAACTATCAGAAGCTTTATTCCGTTTATATGAAGAGACTTCGAGATATTTTGGATCGGAAAAGCACGGGTCTCACCAGAAATAGATTTGGAGTTATTTCTACTGATTTGGATATGCCAAAATCCGTAATCATTAATTTACGAACTTGCACTAATATATTCTTATCATGAAGATCACGATGAACAATATTTGCGTTGTGTAAACAATTAATCCCACTAATCTCAGTTTCCCAATCTAATTCTGAAAATTTATTTCTCAAATAATCACGAAGGTCGCTATTGTTAGCGAATTGAAGAACCAAATAATATTTTTCGGTGTTCGGATCTTGTGTGATTCCAAAGAATCGTATTATATTATCATGATGTGCCACCATTGAAAGATTTTTAATTTCTTTGATAAATATATCTCGCGAAATACCATTATCATCGCAATCTAAACTCTTTAACGCTATAATTCAACACCTCTTGAAAAACATTTTATACAATGCCAAAACCTCCTCTATCAATTCTTTTCCAATCTTGGAAAAAAAAAAAAAATTATACTTCAATGTTTTTTTTTTTTTTTTTTTTTTTTTTTTTATGTATTTTTGTTCAATAGCGATTTTAACCCAATCTGACGTATTTGGTATATCGCATATAAGCTCTTGTATTCTGATGCGAAATTGATTTGCCACTTGAAGGGCTGATTATCAAATTTGCGAATGCTTCTTTACTTTTATTCATGATGCGATATGTTGTACTGCGTTGACTTAATGTTCAAGCATCATCTGACTTGATTTTTAATGGCTCTTTCCATTCTGCATGGGATTCTTCGTCATTTCATCGTGCGATAAATCGCATCAAACTGATTTAATACACATACACCAAATAACAATTTCTTTCCATTTTCTCAATGATTTATTTAATTCTGCAAGTGAAATTTCACACTAATCATCATGTATTACATTACGCCAAGTTGATTTAATGTCTATGCATTCTTGGGTTTGATTCCTAGTGATTGGTTTAAGTATGTAGGCAAATTCCATCTTAAGATTCGATGAAACCAGCGTAGTATTTTTATTTTGCAAGTATATCTGCTACTGCCTTCCCTCCAATGGTCCAAGTACGTTTGAGTTGGTCTCCGTGACCATGCTGGCTCATTTCTCATATTCTCAAGGATATTGCCGTTCTGCACTGCGAATTTGCTTCTAGCGAAGATGGCTGTGGGTCTACACGTAATGTGTGTATTCTTATATTTAACCCAGACAATGAAGATATTGTTAGTATTCCATTGCAGTTATAAATTAGGCAACTAATTCAGAACTACTTATCGTTATCTGACCCATTCCTGATTGGGATTAAAGGCTGATTCTGGTTTAACCGGATTGCCCCGGCATATCCCTGCTTAGCCATCTTTTCGATCTGTTGACTTACTGCGTAAGTCAACTTGAACGATATAAGCTATTAAATCCGGATCCAGGTATTAACTTTATTTTAGAATTATCATTAGGGATGGGGTCGGATTATAGTGAGCCAGCTTAGCCGTGGCTTTTGGGCTTAGCTGACAGAGCTGGCTTGAGCCGGCTTGAGTCGAATCACGTGACATACCGTGCTATTACTAGCTTACATAGCGTCGCCCAAAGAAATGGTAGCCGGATTTTTTGCTGGCTTATATCGATTTTAAAAGCTGATTGCCGGGAAAGTTGTGTTTATCATGCTTAAAAATAATATTTCGTTTGGATTTTCGCTTTGACTTCGTCTTGACTTTGACTTTCACTTTGACTTTACTTTACTTTCACTTTGACTTTCACTTTGACTTTCATTTTGACTTTCACTTTGATTTTCACTTTGACTTTCACTTTAACTTTCGTTTTGATTTTCGTTTTGACTTTCATTTTGATTTTCATTTTGACTTCCGGTTTAACTTTCGTTATGACTTTCGTTTTGACTTTCACTTTAACTTTTCGTTTTATTTTCGCTTTGATTTCGAGAATATTTACTGTATTGAATTCACAAAATAAAGTGCGTCATATTTTAAGCAAAACAACTCGTTTAAACAATAAAATATAATAACTCGAACCAAACATGATAATTAGTTACATCGCTAAAATTGTGTATAGTTATTCAGTACCTCTTATTATTCGTGTTTATTTTGATGGTGAGTGTAAAAGAACTTTTTAATTAATTGAAATAAGTGATTCAAGTTGGTGAGCGTTTACTTATTTGATTTGCATTAATCTAGCTAATTGAGTGAGTATATACTTGTTCACATTAATTTATTGTTCTTTACAGATAACTATCATTATAGTGATGCTCATATCACTTTGTTTAGTTTCTGTTGTTAAGTAGAAAGATTAAGACTAATCCGTTTGTACAATGTCGAAAAATTATTCTTAACGAACTTAAAACACGAGCATTTTGGTCGGGAATTAGTTAAATAAAAATTCTAAAGTTCATGATTGGATAATATATTTAATCTAAATATGGTTTTAAGAAAACGGCTAGTTAGTTCTTAGAATTGATTCTGGACAATATACATATATGATTTTGTTTTATTAGCATTAATCCAGTTGAATATAAAAATCTTGATTGATCACTTAAATAAGTAAGTTCTTTAAGTTTTCGATTCTGCTTCTTATTTATTCTTGCTAATTTAGGGAGTAAATACAAACTTTAGTAATTAAAATAAATTATAGTTACATAATGCTCTCATATTTTTAATTCGCATTAACTTAATTATGTATAAAGGTCTTTTAACCAATGCATTAAAATTCGTGAATCCATAGATATGTTATATATGTTAAATTAACTTGTAATTGGTGTATCAAAAGTAAGCTACTTTATAGTGCGTAAAGATTCTATGAATTTAAGATAAACTGTTTAAATCGCCTTGTTTTAATTATTATTTTTATTTATTTATTCGCTATAACTAAGTTATTTTCATTGAATAAAAAAATTCATAATTTATCCGGCAATCAGTATCCGAAATCACATATAAGCCGGCAAAATAATCCGGGTTAGGGATTGGACCCGTGTAGAAATTGTTACTCTACGATTACCCAAAATATATAATAATTTACCCGGATAACCGGGTAATTTAATAATACACAGGTAGAGATTTTCTCAACGGGTTCAGGTACCATTTTTTCTGGGTGACGCTACCACTAAAATAACTATTAATATATTACGTGTTTTGTATAAAATGGCCTGCTTGAGCCGGCTTAAACTGGCTTGTTTGAGCCAGCTCGGCTTGGCTCTTAAGCCGAACTAAGCCAGCTAATGATGCCTGACGAATGACGAAACCTTTCGTCATGACGAATGACGAAACCATTTCGTCAGGCAACTTCGAATTGACGAATGACGAATGACGTAACTCGTGACGAATGACGTAACTCGTGACAAATGACGAAACTTGTGACGAAACTCATGGGAATAATAAAATTAATATGTAAGATATATAGCATTGGGTATAGATGTTGGTAGAATTCAAAAATAGAAATTTTAACAATGAAAATGATTAGTAATCATTGTTATAATTTCCTATTTTTGAATCTATAGCATTGGGTGCATGATTTATGTTTTAGGAATCATTGAAAACTGGTTCTTTTCCAGGTTCTTATTATACCTTTATACTATTTTTTCTATTAAAGTTACGTACGGTGCGGGAAATTTAAAAACCTCCATTACTTAATATAGAATAAAAAACGACCAGCACATTGAAGATAAGCCAACTTCAGTAGCGGCTTATTTTAAGTTTCAGCCACATGCATAAAACAGCACCTATTAAGTCCATATTATTCTTGGCATATTATTTCTACACCCATCACTCTATTGAGATTGATTATTTAAGTAAATTTGTCTTCAATGAGTTACTAGTATGGTGGAATTGCATAAAACATAGTGCACTTACCCGGGATATAGAGCCGGTAAACATTAAATAAATAAATAAATAAATCAAATAAAAAAAGTATTAACATGTTTCAGCATCCATGGATGCTGAAATATGTCACGTGAAAATCATAAGATCGGGGCATATGGAAATAAATTAATAATAAATAAGTAATGCATAAATAAGTAATGCATAAATTAGTTAAATAAGTCAGTGTTGTACGCGGACATTGTCCCGTTAAAATTACAGAGACGCGGACAGTCCCGGACAGTGTCCCATGTCCTGGACAATGTCCCATGTCCGTGATGGTGTCCCATGTCATATAGTTTATCAAAAACCTGATTGGCTAACAAGGCCGTTCTTATTATAATTTTAATTGTCTAGGACAAAAAATAATCATGAACATGTCTATGGATGCTTCATTCTAGACTGTCCACAGTCTACATCTGTGTTTTATGACAACACTGATACTGGATGTACTAAATATACTTTAGTTGATTTTTTATTAATATTGCTTGAATCTTATAGTCAAGAGTTTCTAAAAGTTTTAATTAAAGTGATTTTAACACCTTTTGATTCGTCTTAATAAAACAAATCGAATAATATTAAATTTATTTACTTTTGATTATTATATCATATGATATTATCAAAAAACATTAGTGCATCACAATATTCACTTATGCCAGAATACCCAACCCTCCTTATATTATAGTTAAGAAATATACCAAATTTGGTTACTAAAGATTACACCTTATTTAGTAATGATTATTAGTTAGATTACTTTAGATTTTTTTTTAGAATATTTGTATAAGCCTGTAAGCTACAAACTAATTAATATTAATTATATCCCTTGGATCTGATTTAAAAACTATACAAGTAATAATTTATAAACTTAATTATAATATTATTATATAATATTACTAAATAATATTAATAAAAGACATACAAGTTGCAGCTTATACTAATTTTATAATTTGAATTAGATAAAATTTTAAAAAACTTTTTCTAATA